CTGGATTCAAAATTAACAAGAAGTACAAATTTCACTATCATAACTTATAGCTCAATTTAAATTGGCCAGCTAATCATACATTGTAGAGTTTCAAATGATTCACTAGGAACGTTTTCGAATCTTATGTTACTCTTAAGAGTAACCCCCTCCTCCCAGAAAAGAGAGACCCTGAATAGAGGGGAACCTTCAACAAAGTTATCACTGGTTGACCGAAAAAGTTAAGCAAAGCATTTATCCTGTATCAGAGAAGCATTCCAAATTGATGACTCTGAAATAACACCGAATAGCAAGAACACTGTGTGTTCAAGTAAAAGTTCAAGCTGAGTCCACCGCAACCCGGCTCAACGCACAATCAAGAACCGGAGAGCGCCGACAACCACAAGGACCATCCAGTATAATATCCACAACATAACTCACATAAAAAATCATAACCAAGAAATTTTGGGCAACAAAGCCAATTTCACAAATTCATTTCGAGCAGAACAAACAGGCCAAACCCCATCACGCCGGCACAAAATGCAAATAAATATCTTCAAAACCAACCTCCTCGCCCAAGAGCGAGTTCGGAGCCGGAGTCAAACAGCATCGTAACCCCAATAAAGCCGGATCGATACGTACACACAAGAAACGCAAATGGTAATTTTCAAAAAGAAACGCACTTGGGGATCAAAATCGGCGAACAAAAATTAGGGATTCGATTAGTTACCGGAAACCAATTGAAAAGTCAAATCTTCGGGGTACTAGAAGACGAGGCTTCGTAGGTGCGGAGGATTCGGTTGCAGGGAAATAGGTTTAGCTCGGAAGGGAGAGAAGAAAAAGATTGAAGCTGCTGCTTCCAGCCTTCCACGGGAAGAGAGAGAAAAAGGTTGGTAGGGAGGAAAGCGAATTTGTGGAAATGGAAGGGTGGAAATGGAAGAATCATGTGTGCGGTGTGTGCTGACGTGGATGACAGGCGTTCGCTCGTAGCATCTCCTTAATTCTGCGAAATTTAAACTTTTTTAATTTTAATTTTCGATTTTTAATTTTGAATTATTGCATCTCAAGTCGGCGCCGATTTTGTTCTGTTTGAAACATGATTTGACCCGCACCCTCTCTCCGCACGTGACTCCTGTTTGGGCACCTTGCCTTGGTATGCCTAGCCCGGGCCTCTTTTTCAGGAACGACATGAATTATTAGAATATATGATTTTTATATAGATATTAAAATATTAACTATTTTTAAAATTAAATATCAACACATAAAATTCACCAAAAAATCAACATGTAAATATATAATATAAAAATTTTAATAAATTATAGTATTTATCAATCATTAATAACATACTAACTCGCAGCATAATTACTAAACAATTTTGAAGAATTATCAATGCTAGTTCTCAATCCATGTTATTTAAAATTTTGAAGGTGAAACGTATAAATATCAATTTTGCCTCTACAATTCATGATCATTACTTTTTTCTCTCATGCATTATTAATTATTTTAAGGTTGATGCGAAAAATTAGGAATAGTTCTGGTATCCCGATTAATTACTCAACCAAATTCCCTACTGGTGATGATCTAGCGCGCATGGCTACAATGTATGTATCCACTATCAAAGACTTAATAATTCATAATGGTATTTGTTGGTGTGCTAATTCATAAAATTAACCTCTTGTTCTGTCCTTAACAATAACCAAATTGCTTCTGCCATTCTTAATTACCCCTTGTTCTTTTTCGAGCATAGAGATTTTTTTATTCTAGTCGGGCTCTGCCTCCAGTGCCTATACAAATATAATGAAGAATGGTTTTCACCTGCTCATTGATCAAACCAGCTTTTATCATCCTCTGGTTCATTGATCTATGGTCTATTTTTATGGAAATTAAAATTGCCTATGAGGCCCTATCCACAGGAAATGTTTTGCAAACACATCATTTTCCTAACAAAACTTCTAGTGATATTTTGGTTGTGATGAAGCTGAATCTTTGATTCATGTTTTTTCTCTATGCCCTTTTTCTCATTCTCTGTAGTTTGCATGCCCTTCATGTCATACTTCATCCTTCAACTTTATAAGTATTATAGAATGGCTATCAATCATTTTTTAACAAACTTTATCAGGAAGGCCATATTGATGCAATTTGTTCTATTAATGCTCTAGTTAAGGGTGTATTTTGTTTTTAATTTACATTTGAAGAAAGAATATTTGAAGGATCTAACTATTTGTTAAATTTAACAAAAATAAATTTTAAGTGTGATTTGAATATGCTTTTAAGATTATCTCAATAGGCTCTAATATGCTTTGGTGGTCGGGGAATAATTTCATCCGTTAAAAAAATTATATGTTGATCTATATCAACTGATTCAAGATTTCCATGATCATGGTTTTTTCATCAAAAACATGTGTCCATGAAATTTGATTCCTTCTTTTAATTCACATTATAGTTTAAGTAGGCTTGACACTTTAGTGGAATGCCTGAGTGGTCGGTCCACTTGGGTAAAGAACACAAAAAAAAAAAAGTTTTTTTTTTATTATGAATGTAATACATTTTTTAATCTTAATTCAACAAGGGTCTCAAATCTTGTATATCATCGGGATATCGTACTCTTTTACCTCCCTTATAATACTTCTCTTGAAAAGCTGTTTGGGATCGCCTTCAAACCAAATACACACAAAATAATGACAATACATCCTAGGAGCATACCTTTCCTTTTGGTTGTTCCTCTCCTAACTCCTCTATCCATATCTTATGGGACTATAAAGAAGCTCACATTATTTGAAAAAAATTAGTTAATCCTGATAAGTTTAATACTTTCTTCTCTTTGTGTGTGCATGATTGGATAGTTTAAAACAATAAAAGTGAACTAGGTAGCTTGAGCACGAGAAGAACAAATTGAAGAGACTCTTCACTCTTGCTTGCTGGAATATATGGAAGGTAAGATGGAATAAGATATACTCAAAAAACAATACTCAAGAAAAAAATACTACCTTCTTATGTAGTCAACAAATTATTAATGATCTAAGGCTCCAAACTAGAATCAACCTTTTGATTAAAAATAGTGCTAAAGATGAAGCTAAATGGAGTCCTCCTATACTTGAGTGTTATCCACTCAATATTGATGATTCTATTAACAGCAATAAGGTGGTTTGCTTATAAGGGCATCATCAGAGATGATAAGGACAGTTGGATCAAGGGATTCATAAACAATTTTGGCTACCATCCCTAACTTATAGGGATCTTTGAGGGTTTTAATTTTTGTTAGAAAGCTAAATTCTCTAAAATCAACATCCACACAGATTTGATGGAAGCTTTGTCTCTTATTGAGCGTAATCACTCTGAATGCCATCCCCTCTCATAATATATCAAGAATATAAGAGACTTAATTATGAAGAGCTAAGAGATCACCTTTGATCATATTTATAGAGAAGCGAATGGATGCGCCGACTTGCTAGCTCATCAAACATCCCATGATAATTTTGATATCATCTTAAATAATTTGCGGTTTGATTATATTAACCTTATAATCTTAGATAAAACTTGACTTTAACCTCTTTACACAATTTTTTGTAGTTTTGTATTAAAAAAAAAAGCTCCCTATTGGTGGATTAAGAACTTCTGCAGCAGTTATCATACAGTTTTAATTCACTGCAATTGACTTGTGTTGACAAATTTTTTATCACCCAGGATTTGCTTCATTTGAATTCTACTCACATTGTTTCCGAGGATACGCTCCCTCTGTTACAGCCTCTCTTATGTTATAATATTAAGGCTGTTTATGTCGATCTTTTCTTTTCAATTCTCAAATTTTCGCCATGGACTATGTACCTTGTTGTAACTGTAATATAATTTGCTCTTGGCTTTGCTTTTTTTTTTTTTAAAAAAAAACAAGAACATACTGACTCATTTGAATGAATAGTAATTATTTTTTTAATTATCATTTTCCTTCCAAATATATTATTACATCTACAGGAGGTTTCGTAATAAAAGGGGATGAAACAGTATCGTGCATAAAATGCATGCCATTCTGAGCAAATAGTCCCTGCGAACCTGCTAAGCTGACCTATCTGCACAAACGAAATACTCCATTTAATTTAAGACATTTTTAAATAAAACCTCACGTATTAATAAATTTTATTAAATATATTTAATAATTTTATTTTTTTAAAATAAAAATATAAACTTTTAAAAATACTCATCATTTAACACATTAAAAAAATATAAATTAATTATAAAAAGATAAAAGATAATATTAAAATTGATATATTTAATGAAATTTTAACTTACTCAAAGTGTTTTATATTTGGAGTGAAGAAATTTTTTTAAAAGTATTCTATAATTTAGAACAAAGAGAGTATTTTGTAATAAAATATATAATACTCCTTCCGTCCCACATTATAAGGCACTTTTGAATAAATTTTTTCGTTCTAAAATATAATATACTTTAAATGGATAAATGTTTCATTAAATGCATCAATTTTAATATTATCATTTCTCTCTATAATTAATTTTTATCTTTTTTTAATATATCAAATGATGAGTATTTTTAAAAATTTATATTTTTATTTTAAAAAGATAAAGTTATTAAGTGTATTTAATGATATTTATTGATATGTAAAATTTTATTTATAAATATCCTATAATTCGATATAAAAGTAGTAACGTGTAATATTATAATGTGCAACATATAATATTCCTTTCATCTCAATTTATAAAATATTATTAGATAAAATCTTACTTATCAATAAATATCATTAAATACACTTAATAACTTTATCTTTTTAAAATAAAAATATAAATTTTTTAAAATATTTATAATTTAATGTATTAAAAGAGAAGAGATAAAAATTTATTATAAAAAAATAACATTAAAATTGATATATTTCATAAAATTTTAATCTAATCAAAATAATTTATAATTTAAAATAAAAAAAATTTAAATGTGTCATGTAATAATTTGAAATGGAATGGAGTGAGTATATACAGTACAACCCTATAGCTAAAAGTTAAAACACAACACCTAGACAACAGCATCAGCTCTGCTCTCATTCTTGCCGAGACTCTCGAATCGTCAATCAGCTCTCGCATCTGTTCTTCGACCTATATCACGTTCATTATCGCTCGTCCACCGAATGAACCTCGGCATCAAATCTGCTCTGATATACATTCAACTTCGGCCTCTCTCTTCTCCTCATAATCGAATTCACTACATTCAGGTTCTTCCTCGCCTCTGTTCTTTGTGCTCTGATTTTGGTTTGATACTTTAATTTGATAAACAATAATACTCTGTTCTTTTTCAGCGTGCATGCTGTAATTTGTAAACATAACACTTTAGACTGGGTGATGGAATTGATACCCCTTTTCATTAAGTCAGTGTCAATCGGGAATTATTATTATTATTATTTTGCGCTCGCACTTGGTCTTATTTATAAATTTGTAGATGGCAGGTAAGCAGAACCAGAATACAGTTGAATATGGCCCTGCTAATCAGGAGAAAACTAATGATCATGTTATCGATGGAAAACATCGGTGTCCATACGTTTGCTTTTCTTCCCAACTAGCCGATTCCCAAGCTTGACTCTAATAAGTGAAATGGATTTGTGAAGCGGGGTTCTTTCAAGGGGAAGTAAACTAATAAAGTGGAGGACAAGGTACAAACCTCAAGCGTATGAAGTTAAATTGTGCTTTTAGTTATACATTGTTTGAAGAATTTAATAGATTATTGTCTACTGAGAGGTCTTCCCCTTTTCTTTTTTCTAAATTTTCTTTAGGAAAATATGTTGAGGTTGATGGTAGCGACAAGTCAAAGAAGAGGGGCGGAACTGGATTTCAGGTTGGGAAGAGAAAAGTGAAGACTAAACTGACGGCTGTAGCTAAAGCTAAAGCTGCACAGGCAATGTAGCTTGACAAATGAAGTTTGAGTAGTTTATGATAATACGTTTAGCTTCACGAGTCTTAAAGTTGTTCTGCGGTTGAATATTTATTCCAGTTTTTTAGTAGTTTATGATAATACGGCTGAGATTAATTGTATAGCAGCTTTCTGTCTCGCAGTTTTCGCTTGGTCAACTGTCAACATTTATATAATATTAATTCCAGAAGAATTCATACTATTTCTTTGCCATGTGCTTATTGACTATTCATTCTGTAATCCCACCGGCTTTGTTCAGATGTTCTGCTTCTAAATACCACCTGTTGATTCTACACTACGAACTTTGACGTGTTGTGGGTGTTGAAGAAAGGATGGCGTAATGGAATGACTTTAGATCCCATTCTTTGAACAGAGACAATGATTCAGTGTCAGATTAAAGTTTGACTCGCAGAATCATAATTACAAGGTCAACAATTAGTAGAAATCAGTAGGTGTGAACAAAGTTTTATATAAGTTTCCAGATCCAGTTCAAGCCTGCAACACAAGTTTAGATTTACTTTGCCAAAACTTGACATTTTCTATTTCCATCCCTACTCTTTGCATTTTAACTTATGAACCGAGCTCCAGTCCAATCCAATGCAAATATGAGTAAAATCGAGGCCCATTCCATGTCCAAATGAATCCACTCTGTAACAACCCGAGAAAAGGAATCAAACGCAATTTTCTTTATTCGTCTTTTTGCTTATCTCTCTGAAAAAAATGGATGCCAAGCAATCCTGGACTAGTGGGATCAAATTGGACAACTTAAATAGAATATGTTTAAAATATATTTAAATAAATTAACAGAGTATGTATGTTAATGATACATAGAAAAAATAAATCTTCTAATCTTTCGAGTATCACTCAGAATATTATTCCCTGTAAGTTTTGAACTCCCCAAGTCCCGAATCACTCCCTCACCCTTATAAATTAATATAATTTCCAGGTGGCTAACGGTGTTAAAGTATGCGTTGTTGAGCCAAACGCTTTGATGATGTGGCGTACGTGCCACATGGATATCAAAAGGTATTGCCAAAATTAAGAGCGTGTTTAGTTTTAGAAAATGAGAAGATAATAATTTTTTAATAATCTTTTGTAAAAGAAAAGAGGAAGAAAAGTAATAGTTAATTTACTATTATATTCTTATATATTAATTATATTATTAGGAGAGTGCTTATTCTCATTTCGTTAAGAAATTTTAAAGAGAAGGAAGTCAAAATAATCCCTCCCCTCTTATTGCTTTCATTTAAATTAAAGTTTTTTTTGGAAGCAAGCTAATTTTTTAACTATTTTATCTTTATTTATTTTTTAATATTTTAAGTACACATATGGTTAATTTTTTATATATTAAATTGTGCTTCACCTTCATACTTTGACTGAGCTCATTTGAATTTTTTTTTTTAAATTATTAACACAGAACTCAATTAGGCACAAAAATTGTGAAGAGTTGTGCGTTAAAAATTTTAGAATCTCGATTTTGCGGAAGCGGAATTCAGATTTTTAGCATTGTGACACTTGATAAATGCTTTTTAAAATTTAGTATTTTGGAAAATTTTATTCTTTTTTTTTTAAATCCTCCAATAGCATTGTGCTTGATTTGTCTAAGATTGCACTCAATTTGCACAGGTCGTTTGCGGGGAAGCAGAAGGGATTGAGATTAGTGCCAAGTCATGGAAGGCGAGGAGGGAAAAGGAGGACTCGCTTAGATGCGACGATGCCGTTTGTGCTCAGTGGACCAATAGTGGGGCGGAAAGAAACTGAACGCGTGCACGAGAGTGGTCAAGAGCAAACAAAAACCGGAGAAATTGAGCTGAATTGGGTTTAGTATCATTTCTTTTAAGCGAGCACTTGAAATTGAGCCCTGCAGAATAGAGTCGATTGCTGACAAACGCAGGGATTTAGATTGTCTATTTTATTTGAGAAATTGCCAGTGATAAGCACGCATATTCCTGGATATGAATCCTAGGTCATTGCGAACGTTGGTTATGGGAACTGGAGTCGTCTTGGGTGGGATTGTCACTCTCAACCTGGCTTCTACTGTTACTCTTAAGACCCTTCATCTTGTATCTGAGAAGAAACGGGTAAAAACTAGATAAGATCCATGTCTTTCTTGATATTTCTTTCCCTCCGCCCCCAAAAAAGAGATTTTTATTTGTTTATGTTCCCTTAACAAATGAGGCATTTGGGAATGTGGGTTTCGTGCAGAAAAAGGTTGCATTGCCATGCATGGCTTGTAGAGGGAAGGGGTTTTACATATGCAAGTTGTGCAAAGGAAATTCCACCATAGAATGGTCGCCTTTGTATGACCCTATTGCCATTAATCCTTGCCTCTGTCCTACTTGCGAGGGAAACAGGTTAGCTCTTTAATTTCCTGAATCCCTTTTCTTCTGCTCTTCTCCGTGATATGCAAATTTTCTTAATCTTATGTTGAATACGGGGGAAAGAATTCCGTTCAAGTCCCACTACACTTGCTGAGCAACTGGTAAGGTAAGCAACAGAGATGCTGCAATTCAATTATTTGCCTATTTGGTGTAAAATTCATAGTAATCATGAAGAGTGATGTGTTTGTAATTTGGAAGAGTTAACAGTGGAATGCTGAACTGTAAAATTTGTCTAAATATTATCACAGACTTCATGGCAAGCCAACTCCTTTAGGACATTACTCTAACTCTTGTTCTCTGATAATTCTTCTTTACTCTTCTCCTTCTCCAGTGTCGATTCGTACCCGTGACTTGTTTGAGGATCATTACCCTTGACTGATTTAACTCTTGTCCTCCGATGATGGTTTAAAATTATGAATATACACTGACTCTGAGAATACTTAAAATTTCCTCGTGGTTAAATTGAAAGCTATGCCCTCTGTTGATTCTGTCGATGAAGTTAAGAATAAGTTTAATGTATTCAGGCCCATCCTAAGTTTTATAAACTGCTATTGTTTTCCAATGGTTACACATGGTATTGCAGGGTCCAACGCTGTCTAAACTGTCTGGGAAAGGGCTATGATTGACCTGTTGAGATATGCATATACTGCATTTTTTATATTCCAGTGAACTGTGATTCTCTAAGTGAGTGACTTGCCTTGCATTTCCAATTTTATCCCTATTCAGTTACTTGTTGCCTATTCCAATGCTATGAAGTCTTTATTTTGATATTTTCAGTGTTTCCCTTTAAGGATTAAGGAAGCACCGAACCCCGATGTTGGGCAACCTTCATAATGCACCAAATACTTTACGTTAGATAATTTCAAGGAGGAAGATGTTCGCACTGTTGTCTTCAGCATTATTGTACTGTCATGAATGAACGTATTTCCGTTTATGATTTATGCAATTGATATCCTGAAATTATGGCTTATTAGAACTAGCTCAATCTCCATCTCCTACTTTAATTCAACATGGTCAATACTCAATACGGTGCTTGTTAAGGGTTTTTCTTATTTCTGTTGTTATCAGCCTCCCTAAAGGATGACATACCCAATCATATTAGGGACATATTGAATCTGAATTGGCCTCCTTGATATATAGTCCACAGAAGCTTGATAGGAGGGAGATTTTGAGGCTTCTGGCTTTCTAAAGGCGTTCGTATGTATGATAATAATTGGCATGCAGGGTGCAAAGAAAATTACTTGGGCTACAAATAGATAAATAAATCTTCACATGATTTTCTAAACTATTGTTTTCGAACGTTAATGCTTGTTTGTGGTTTTTGGGGATTTTCCAATTGGACGTTGTCTAGCAGATTTCATCATGGTCAGCAGGTATGATTTTGGGTCTTAAATATATAATATTTATAATTCTATGAATGATGGAGTGCAGCAATCGAGCATCGGCTTTTTATTTAATTACCAATCTCGAGCCTAACCTGAAGGAGGGCAAAGCCCAATGTATTAACAAACTATATTTGCCCGGTGGGGAGGGTGGGGGAATTGAAATCCCCTACAATCTTTAAGGACCAAGTCCTTCAGAAAAGAAGGTACGCTATCATAAAAGGAGGAAGAGACATTCAACGCCTCCTTTGCAAGTCTATCAGCCACATGGTTTTGAAGTCTTGAAATACGAGTAGTTTTGACTTCTCAATTGTTCTCTAGCAGTTTTGAAGAATCACCAGGCTGTGTGGTGAGAGTTCATTAGGGTCAGCTTCAAGAGCATTAATTAAAACTTTGCAATCAGATTCTAGATTGACTTTCTTAAAGCCCATGTCACAAGCAGGTTGCAGGCCTCTCAGGCAAGCCCAATATTCAGCTTCCAAAGAATTGCATTGGTTGAAGGAAAACCCAGCGATCCAAGTGCCCTCTTTTGATATTTGATGTGCTGGAAACCAACATACAACGTGACATAGGGAATATGGAAACAAAAAGGTGTCTTTGGACCAGGCGGGCAGGTGCTGCTCATGATGATATGCTCTCCTGCATTAATCCAATTTTCCATGAATTTTATCCTTCCCAATTTTATATAAAATGAACTTTCAATTTGATAATCTCCAATAACAATAAATCTTATCCCTCTTAGTGAAGTTAGTCATACGTATTGCATTATGCCAGAATGCTTTATAACAGCCAACTATTTAGATAGATCATTCATCAAAAGCTCTCACTCAATTAACATTCTCAAGTGTTTTTTATCTTCTTCTACCCCTCTTCACTAGACTTAAGACTATATGATTAACCCTCCTTATTGGCACCTCCATTAGTTACATGTCCAAGCCACAAACATTTGTCTAACGTTTTTTCCTCAATAAAAGTGATCCCAATTTTTTCTCGTATATGATTATTATGAATCTTATATTTTATTGTATAACCACACATCCATCTATTACTTTGACTTTTTGTTCATGTTATCTTTTTATAACCTAACATTTACTATCATATTACACCATCAGTCTTATAGTTATTTGATAAGGCTTTCTTTTTAGTTTATTTGGTATATTTTAATCACAAAGAATTCTTGATACCCTTTTCAATTTTAACCATCTAGTTGGTATTTTATTCTTGACATCCCCACAAGTTTCTTCATTATTTTGTATAATCAATCTCAGGTATCTGAACTTTGTCACTGATATGATCTAGTCTTGAATTTTTATCACTATATCATTTCTAACTTGTTTCTTTGTGCATAGTTTGCACTTACAATGCATATATATGGGCTTGCTCATACTCGAGCAGAAATCCTTTGATCCAAAGGTCTTTTATATCTCAAGTTTGAAATTAATTTATTTTCTTGACTTCACAATGAAAAGTATATCATTTGTGAAAAACATGCAGTCAAAGATCACTTCTTGAATGTGATTGGTTAGAATATTTAAAACCAAGTGAAATAAGTAAAGGTTCAATAATGATCCATGATGAAAACCAATCCTTATAAGAAATTAGTCCCTTGATCCACCTCCCAATATTTCTTACACTAATTGTTACACCTTCACACATATCTTATATAACTCTTATATAAACTACATTAACCCCTTTCCTTTTCAAGGCTTTTTAGAGCACTTCTCTTAGTAGTTAATTTTAAGTTTTTCCATGTCCATAAAATTATATGCAAGTCTTTTCTTTTGCTTTAGTATCTTTCTATTAACACCCCTTATTACATAGATTGCTTTTGTTGTTAACCATCATGCATAAATCCAAATTGATTTTAATGTTCAATCATTCTTTTTTATAATTTCATTACATGACTAATAAGATTTAGGGAAAATGACAATAAAATTTTTCTGAATTATATAAATGATAATCCGATTTCTTAAAATGCTATAATTTCACCAAAATTTTTAGGAACTTATGTGCCAATGAATTTTAAATTGAAAAGATTATTTTACCCTCATTGATAAGTTATGATTTCTTGTTTAATTTTTAAAATTCTTTAAAAAAAATTTATTCTTTAAAAAAAGTCGTTATTAGGGTTTGTTATTTTGAGAATTTATTTTTTAATAATAAAAATTACACCTGACAAGTTGTAATTTTTTATTCAACTTTTGCAATTCACAAAACAAAAATTATTATTCCTCAAGAAAAAATTGTGATTAGGCCATATTATTTTGAGATAAAAATTACATTTAACAAATTATAATTTTTTGTTTAATTTTTGTGATTCACAAAACATAAATTGTTAGTTCTTAAGTAAAAGTTGTAATTGAGATTTATTTTTTCAATAAGGGTAAAATAATCTTTTTTTAATTTGTTCATATTAAAATTTTTAAGAATTTCAGTGAAATTATAGCTTTTTGAAAGATCGAATTATTATTTATATAATTTATGAGATTTTATTGTCATTTTTTTCAAGATTTACCTTTTTGTAGTTTGCAAAAATTTAAATATCTCATTTATCTCAGTTTATAGGAACAAAAACACTTCTTTTTCTATTCATTGGCTATTTTTTTAATATCTTAAAATCTCATTAAATAATTTAATTTCCAAAATTATTCCTCTTCTCATCAACACTTGCCACGCTGCAATAGAGGTACCGCGAGGTTAAATTGTTTTAAGCTCGTCCTTTTCATTTGATATAAGCTTGACACATTTTTGTTCAGTTGACTTTTGAGACGTTGTCTTGGAGGGTTGTCCTGGAGACCCTTTAAATTTGCTCTTTTTATTTCAGTCACCTCCGGAAATTTCATTTTTAATATTGCCGTGAGAGGCGAAGATTTATACGGACAGCTTAATAGTACAAGCACACTTCAAATCCGACGTGTTAGTGATTGTGGCTGTGTCCAATTTGATTTTATGTCTCAAAGAATAAGAGGAGATTCTATACGTATTTTTCTGAACCTTGCACATGAATGTTAAAATGGGGTTCTTTTTCTATCGAAACACAAGAACATGGCAAATGTTGGTTGATTATTGATGGATCATAGATGCCAAGAAATGCATTTTAATATAATTCATCTGTGAATGATTGAACTTGGTTGATAGGAAACAAGATCTGCATTGATAATATTTCCACTTCAAACTTCAAATTAAACCGACCCATACTCTTGAATTCTTGGTTGAATTAGTTGCAATTGAAATATTGAATTGGCATATAAGGTTTTTTTTTCTTTCAATAAACCATATAAAAAGATTATGTTACTTTTATTCGATTTTTATATACTCATCTTTAATTACTTTAATCAAAATGTTCTTCATTTAATTTTTTTACCTTTTCAAATAATATATATTTAATCGAAACTGTAAAAGGTATTTTTATTTTAATTCAGGGAGTATAATTTTAATAACTTAATGAAAAACCTAATCCTTAAAATTTAACTCATCCAACTCAGTCACTCAATTTTAGTCAGTTAACAGATTGATCCCTGCATTTTAAAAAAAATATCCAGTCCGTCAATAGTTGTGTCATAATCCAATCATAAATTGTAGGAATTAATAACTAAAATGGATAAATTTCAACGAATTGAGTTGTATTGAGTTAAATTTTAAAAATTAGAGTGTAATATAATAAAAAATATCCTTAAATTTTTAATATATAATTTTTAAGTTAAATAATTACTCTTAAAAAACATTTCAATGTTTTTGTAAAAAAGTTATAATAATGAAAAGATAAATCAATTGAATTTGAAGAGACTCAAAGTATAAGGTGTAAATCACTACCAAGAAAAGTGAGGTGGGATAAGGTAAGGTGGGACTAGAGCTAAAAAAATTCAAGTAGGTTGGACTTATTTAGACTTGATTTGAATAGATTCGATTTTATAAAAAGTTTAAATAATTAAACCCGACTTGAATTCCTTCACGCTTCAGGTGACTAAAATACTTAAATGATGTATAGGATTCAAATATATATAATGTTTGGATTTAAAATAACATAAAACTTAAAGAATTAATTAATATTTATTATATTTTATAGAAATAAAATATTTTTATTTGCGTATTCAGCCAAACTTGAACCCGATCAAGCATAGTTTGAAATTTTTTAGGTTAATTTGAATAGGTCTGAATATAAAAAAAATTAATTTTTTTTATAAGTACATTCTTAAACTTTTTCAGGTGGATTCGAACTAATTCGTCTGATCCTATCTGAATTACTAGCTAAGGGTGGGAGAGAGGTGGGGTTGAGTAGGGCCCAAGCCACGTACGCGGCCCACTCCGATTGGGTTCACATGCATGACGAGAATATCATAAATATGACTACGCTGCCACTGTGTGCTATTAATTACTGTACACACGGACCCTCCAAAGGTTCATTTCAATTTCGAGGTGGTCAAATTAATTCAGCCCACGGGTTCTTCGTGATTCTTAACTGCAAATTCTTCAAAATTCACCATACGTACATCACCATCTCTACGTTTTCCCATTTCCCCTTCATTTTTATTTTTTTTTTCTTATCCATGGGTATTTTTTTTCATTGGATGCAATCTGGTCATTGTTAGACACTAAATATAGACATTTCTTTTAATAAAAAAAAATTTATATTTTAGTTCTTC